AATCCCTCAGCTTTTGTTTGTCTGGGAGAGTATTTCTCCTTCATGTTTCAAAGCTAGTTTCACAAATTATAGTTTTCTAGGGTAAAAGTTTTTTCCTTCAGCACTTTACATGTCATGCCACTCTCTCCTGGCCTATAAGGTTTCCACTGAAAGGTCTACCTTCAAATGTATTGGAACTCCATTATATATTATTTATTTTCTCTTGCTGCTTTAGGACCCTTTCGTTATCCTTAACCTTTGGGAGTTTTATTATTAAATGCCTTCATGTAGTCTTCTTTGGGTTGAATCTGCTTGGTGTTCTATAACTTTCTTGTATGTAGATATTGATGTCTTTCTCTAGATTTGGGAAGTTCTGTGCTATTATTTCTTTGAATAAACTTTCTACCACTATTTCTTTCTCTACCTCCTCTTAAGGCCAATAATTTTTAGATTTGCCCCTTTGAGGCTATTTTCTAGATCTTGTAGGCATGTTTCATTCTTTTTTTTTTTTTTTTCTTATTTCTTTTGTCTCCTCTTACGGTGTATTTTCTTTTTTTATTATTTTTATTTGATTTATGTATTTATTTTTGAGACGGAGTCTTGCTCTGTTGCCTAGGCTGGAGTGCAGTGGCTCAATCTCGGCTCACTGCAAGCTCCGCCTCCTGGTTTGATGCCATTCTCCTGCCTCAGCCTCCTGAGTAGCTGGGACTACAGGCACCTGCCACCGCGCCCAGCTAATTTTTTGTATTTTTAGTAGAGACGGGGTTTCACTGTGGTCTCGATCTCCTGACCTTGTGATCCGCCTGCCTTGGCCTCCCAAAGTGCTGGGATTACAGGTGTGAGCCACTGCGCCAGCCCTTACTGTGTATTTTCAAATAGCCTGAATTCAAGCTCACTAATTCTTTCTAATACTTGATCAATTTTGCTATTGATGCAGACTCTGATGCATTCTTCAGTATGTCAGTTGCATTTCTGGATTCCAGAATTTCTGCTTGATTCTTTTTAATTATTTCAATTATTTAAAATTTATCTGATAGAATTCTGAATTCCTTCTCTGTTATCTTGAAATTCCTCGAGTTTTCTTAAAACAGCTCTTTTGAATTATCTGTCTGAAAGGTCACATATCTCTGTTTCTCCCGAATTGGTTCTTGGTGACTTACTTAGTTTGGTGGGGTCATGTTTTCCTGAATGGTCTTGATGCTTGTGGATGTTTGTCAGTGCCTGGGCATTGAAGAGTTAGTTATTTATTGTAGTCTTCACAGTCTGGGCTTGTTTGCACCTGTCCTTCTTGGGAAGGCTTTCCAGGTATTTGAAAGGACTTCGGTGTTGTGATCTGTATCTGCATTAGGGGGCACCCCAAGCCCAGTAAAGCTGTGACTCTTGCAGACTACTAGAGGTGCCACCTTGGTGGTCTTGTATAAGATCCAGAAGAATTCTCTGGATTACCAGGCAGAGATTCTTGTTCTCTTCTCGTACTTCTCCAAAAGAGTGTGTGTGTGTGCTAAGCTGCCTGGAGCTGGAGGTGGGCTGACGCAAGCACCTTGTGGCCATGACCACTAGGACTGCACGGGGTCAGACCTAAAGCCAGCACAGCACTGTGTCTCACCCAAGCCCCTTTGTAACCACTATCTGGCTACCACCTATATTCACTTAAGGACCTAGGGCTCTATAATCAGCAGATGGCAAAGCCAGCCAGGCTTGTGTCCTTCCCTTCATGGTGGCACATTCACCCAGGCTCTGGGCGGGTCCAGAGACCCATCTCAACACTAGGGACTTGCCTAGGAGTTGCAGTCCTTGTGGCCTAGCCTGCCATTCAAGTTTATTTAGAGCCCCAGAGCACTTCAGCCGACAGTGGAGAAGCTTGCCAGAACTCAGGTTCCAATCACTGGAGTGGGTGATTTGATTCCTCTCTGGCTAGGACTGATCTAAATGCTCCCACTGTGGGTAGGCGTCAGCGGAGTTCAGCCCAGTTTTGCTTTGTGATGTGACAAGGCAAAGTCTCTCTATTCTCTTTATCACCATGCTCTCCCTTTCCCGAGTGCACAGATTCTCTGTGCCGTGTTGCCCCTGCCACATGGGATATGGATGGCATTGGTAATTCAAGACTGTTTTTCCTACCCTCTTCAGTGCCTCTTTCTATATGTAAAGTTAAAACCAGGTACTGTGAGTACCCCTGATTTCTGGTTCTTATGAAGGTGCTTTTTTGTGTAGTTGTTAAATTTGGTGTTCTTGTGGGAGGGATGCTCAATGGAGCCTTCTATTTGGCTATCTTGCTCTGCCTCTTTCCACCCTTAAGTCTTCTGGCTTTCCCCCACTTCTCTCTGGCCCTAAACCATTTTTAAGTATACAGTTGGGTGATATGAAATACATTCATAATGTTGTGAAACCATCACTACCATCATTTCCATAACTAAAAAATGTTAAATTAACATGACTGGCTCTTCAGGGTACCATAACTCTTTTCATCTTGCAAAAGTGGAATTCTAGGAGCACATTAAAATTCTCCATTTCCTCTTCCCCCAGCCTGTGGCAACCATCATTCTAATTTCTGTCTCTGATTTGTACTACTCTAAATACCTCATATAAGTTGAATCATACAATATCTGTGTTTTTGTGACTGGCTTATTTCACTTAGCATAATGTCTTCGAGGGTTATTTATGTTGTAGCATATGTCAGAGTTCCCTTCCTTTTTAAGGCTGAGTAATATTCTATTCTACGTGTATGCCACTTTTTGCTTATTCATTTGTCTGCAGACACTTGGGTTGCTTCCATGTTTTAGCTAGTGGGAATAATGCTGCTATGGACATCAGTTTATGAAGCTCTTTGAGATCCTGTTTTCAATTCTTATATATCCAGAAGTTGAATTGCTAAATCGTATGGTAATTCTTATATATATATAT